GTAAAACCCACTTAATTTAAATGTCTCATATAAGATATTGGCGAGATGGACAAAATTTAGTTTGATACTCTCTACACACAGTGAATTAAAGAGCGGTGGTCGTCGCCCCGCGCATGTGCGATATTTGTGTTGATAAACATTGATTTTCCCACAATCCAATGCGCGCATGTGCGATATTTGTGTTGAAAAACATTGATTATCCCACAATCCAATGCGCTTTTCTAATAGAAATAACGAGCGCAAGTTTTGACCTGGGCGTGATGTGCACTAATTACCGCTGGCGACTCCTTCGATACCTTCCAATTACTAAAAGAATTACTTAATTAAAGCTTGGTAACGTCTCAGTCTGTACTCATTGCTCTGCGCCACAGACAAAGTCGCCATCTTTGTTGATATGATCCCAATATCTCGCGCATCCGTGGCGCGACGACCACCGCCATTTAACCGTCATTCTAGTAACAGATAATACTGGGTTTTTCATAATCGAAATATGCGCATATTAAGTCTTATTGGTTCTTCACATGTATGTTGTCTCATTTGTTACAGCGTTTTGTGCCGATAGTTCACCCGAGGTTATATTTATGCATAATTAATTAGGACACCAGACACATGACTCGTCACGTGTTACCTAATTCCTGACCCCTAAGTGGCTAACACCAGTTGGTGTATAGATTTTAATCTCGGTAATTATCGTTGAATTGAAACTATGCATAAATGATTTGGTCATATGATAGGACACGGCTTAGTCTCAATTACTGCTCCCATCTGGTACTTTTCCCGTGATATGACTTTCATTTCATTTCCAAACATTTTATTTTCATTATTAATGAGGTCAAGTGACATTCACTTTTCACTGTTCGTATTGGGTGGCATTCTTCTTTTAGTAATACAGTATTGGGTGTCGCTTTGACAAGAGAGTTGTCACTCCCAGTAATTTATATTAATTCTTGATTTTAGCTCCTGATTCAAGAAATTTGATATTTTACGGTTTTGAAAACAAATGAGAAATGTGGCACCTTGAAGTTCAACCTTTCAATAATTCAAATTTATTTTTCAAGAATTTAGACAAAAACTTAACACGTACTACTTCAGGCAACCCAACCACTAATCTCACTTATCTGATCGCATTGCGGTTACCATGGTCACCGTCGTGATGCTGATCTTGATTTGACACATGTGTTTGGGGGCGCTGTTGAGCAAATTTGTTTTTTTTTTTGTGATTGCAGTTCGGTTTACCGTCGGTCAAAGTCCCTAAT